TAGAGGTTTTTGTGAAATGCTTAGGACTAAAGACTAGACAGAAGAGGTCGAAATTCACCTTGTTATAAAAACCAGTGTACCAGACTCACAAATAGAGTGGACAATTTGGTGACAGACAGACGGAAGGGGGATTGAGGGGCTGGGAGAATGGGGTGAAGGGTTAAAGAAGTACAAATTAGGAGTTGATAGTGGTCATGGGGATGCGGAGCACGGCACAGGGAACGCAGTCAGCAGTAATATGATGGCTGGGCGGAGGGCCAGGGGAGGGAGGGAGCGATTGGGGGAATAGTTTTATGAACTATATAGATGTCTAACCAATGTACTGAATACTTGAAACTAATTTAAGTAAATAAATTTTTTAAAAAACCAGTGTACCAGACTGACACACAAAAAACATGAAATAGGAAAACTCATACATCTACTAAGTAAATTGAGTCAATTGTTAAAAAGTCAAACCAATTAACAACAAAAACAAATCTTTCCACAAGCAAAACTTTAAGCCAATTATAAACAATTAAAAATAAGAAAAACAACTAAATTCCCCAGGTGGTCCTTATGTGGAAAAAAAAAAGTCTTTTTTTTCACTTTCTTTAGTGAGGCCACCATTACATTGACAATATTATCTCAAGAAGACATTAGAAAATAAGCAATGTGCAGGGCATGGCTCGCATAAACAGAGATACAGATATTCTAAGCAAAATATTATGTGAATTAATCCATGTAGGAAAACAGAATAGATCAATACCAACTGGAATATACTAGAACATGTGAGGGCAGTTGAAATCCAATAAGAAACCATGTAAAACGTTTCACTATCAGAGAAATACGAGAAAATCATATGATCAATCGGGATGTTCAAAAAGCATGTAATAAAATGCAACTGTTAGGCATCAGAACGACTTAATTACCCAGAACTATTGAAAGCTCTTTCCCGGGAGGCGGAGTCACACGAGGCTGCCAACTGTTACGACTTTCATTCAGTACTATGCCAAGGTATATTTAAGGCAATAAAGCAAGAAAAAAGGAGAGAAAAGACATAAGGGTCAACTTTTAAATAATAAAATCCTTATTATATGTGGATGACACTTTAATATACATAAAGAATCCACCACAACCCAAAACAATAACCATCAGTAAATTAATTTCAATATAAAAAAATCAAATGATTACTGTGCATCAGCAAGAATGAACTAGAAAATAAAAATGAGTAAAACTGGACTAGAAAACAAGTACACACAAGATAAATGAGGCAATAAAGGATTAATCTGTAGACTCTTTTTTTAAAAATCCTTTAAATCAATATAGCAAAGTACACATGATCCCCTCCCCAAATGAGAAAACAATATGAATAGAAAGGCCAAGATACAACCACCACACAGTAACTCACCTGAAGCAGGTAATTGCAAGCTCCAGATGATAAGAGCCCCCACAGGTACTCAGAAGGGCAGGAACCCAGGAAGCAGGACCTCCGGGGAGGTGACCTTACCCCTTGCTGAGAGGTCAAGGGACCCAAGAGGACAGGGCGGGTCTAGACCTGCTGCCCACTCCTCGGCCAGGGACAGCCCCACGTGGCAGCCCTACACCGGGGAGGATTCTGATTGGCCTTGTCTTCCGGGACGTCATGCACGTCATGCACGTGCATGTACACTGCACCATCACTGGGACACCAGTGTGTCCTCTGAACGGTGGACTCCTTGACCGCTCCCCAGTTCACACTCTGAGAGTTCTTTCGTTGGTCCCCTCACCCTCCTGGGCCACAGAGGATGTCTTTGTCACATGCCAGATCTCGGCAGGAAGCTGTCTTTTACCGCGGTGTGCTGTTACCTGTGGGCGTCCGTGAGATTCACTGGACCAGATTAGGGAAGGTCCCTTCTGTTCCCATCACGATGAGAGTACACAGGATGATTGGGTGTTGAATTTGTCCTGTTCTTCTACTGCATCTTTTGAGGTGGTCTTACTGTTTTTCCTGTCTCTTAATGTGGTGAATTACATTCATTCTTAGATACTGAATCAGCCTTTAATTCCTGGAATGATCCTTATTTGGTGTTGATGTTTTACCTTTTTATAGATTACTGACTACTACATATTCTTTTTCACTGTTTAGGTATTTCATTAATTTTTTAAAAAACAAATAGCTTAAGTATTTTGTTTGCAACTAAGCTTGTTAACACTATATAATAAAAACGCACGAAGAATAACGTCGCAGTTTGGGTTAGATTTAAGTCAAAGAAATTCTTTAATAGAGAATCTTCCAATATGAATATCCCAGAACTTTCTCTGAGCCATCTGATCAGAACTGTCTCTGAATACCTTACTTTGGAAGGTACTGGCATACATTTGAATTAAACTCAGGTTTTTTCAAAATAAGCCCTAATTTTAAAAACTATTCTATATTCACACGAAAGCTATTTTAATAGAATTTTCCTTTCCAGAAATAATAATGAAACAAGGCGTTTTGTAAAATGTGGTCCTGGACAGGTCACAGTAAAAAATAAATGTGTATTTAACCTCCCCCTCCTCAAAACGAAGGCTACTTTCTGTTCCTCAGCTGGCAAACAAGGCGAGAAGAGTCTGTACGCAGCCTGGGATGGGGCGACACACACGGAGCAAGCAGGTGAACATGGTCACCTGTCAAAAGAATTTGGGGGAAGCCGACCAAAGCATCCAAATCTACTTATAACTCGAACAAAGCTGCAGTGGCTCCTCCCAGGTCACAGAGTCACCAGGGCCACCAGGGCCTATCGCAGCCCCATGCTCACCTGTTACGCTCCCAAGCAAACCCTGTTGCTTCTGATCCAGGGGAGACCTTTTCTTTTGTAAATGCAATTAGTCTGTGCCCTTTCCCTGCCTCCAAAAGATGTCATGGACATAAATAACTGGAATGGCACCAAATTCTGAATAAATCATAGACGTTTACATGCTATATCAAGCCTGGCTTGATGCCTTCTTATCATCTCCCAAGTAATTCGGAGCAAGGGCTCAAATCTCAAACTGCCTGGCCTCTAATTATGCTACCACCTACTAATAGGATCCCTTCCAGTTTCCAGTAACTTGTTCCTTGCTTCCTTTTGAGCCCTCAACAGCAGCCCCCTTCAAGTCCGTATTTCTACTGATGCCCCCTTTTCTCACGACATGGCTGTTTGCTTAGTCAGGGCCAACAGAACATCTGCTGCTGCTTCCTGTCTCATTTAAAACTCACCTGCCTTGGACTGGGTCTCGCATGCCACTTCTAAGATACCATGGCCTGGAATGGTCATTTTGTTCTATTAAATATTGTACACCGAATACCCACCAAAACATCAGGACTTGTTCTACTAGAAGCGACTCTATGACTGAACGAAATGGACCAAGTGTAAGATTTAGACTAAATGATTAGAGTAATACTGCTATTATTTTAGAGGTTTTAAATAGCACCTTTTTTGAAGCTCGGATTTGGGAATAAAGGTGAAAACATTAATAAAAAAAACACCTCACCTGATTAAGCCAGGCCCACTTACAACAATCCCCAAATGGTTAGTAACTTAAATACGAAAAGGAAATCCCTTCATGTTCACAAGTCTCACCCACACCAACAGGAAGGAATTATACAGAGAATGTATACTGGGGGTGGAGAGCTTGTGGCCGTCTGAAGAATTCTGTCCACTTTTCCCCCTTAAACCTTGGATGCTGCCCTCGGATTCCCGGCTTTACAGTGTGGCGTTAATATTGCGTTCTTAATCCTCTCCTTTTCCCCGGCTTTTATGCCCTAGTCCTTGGACAGGTCCTTCTTGTTTGAAAGCAGTCCAAATTTCTCTGTAAAATCAGGGAGAAGTAATTAAGCCAGGTTTTTTGTTTTTGTTTCAGGCAATGTGTATGGATGCATGTTTGTGGATATTTAAGGATATGTCAAAACTAAAGAAAGTTAATACAGTAAAGGAAGTTCTTAATTTTAAAACATCGGCCTAGTATGAAGTATTTAACACTCTCCAACCCGTTTAAGAACATAGTTTAATAAAATGAAAACTCTAACGAAAGTTTTAAATATTTTTCAGAATTGGCCAAAGAGAATTCGGGGAGAAACCTATTTGCTTTGTGCACAATCGTTGCTGCTACGTGTGTGCATGTCTATTTCAGTTGGGGGACAACTCATCAACGAAATTAAATTTTTCTTTTTCTCTTATGTTCGCCAGGGGAAAAAAGCCTCATGTTCTCCCTTCTCTGCTCTAGTAAATCTTTTCTTGCATGATCTTTCTGTGGTTGGACTTTTAAGGGCATTATAAACAGGATGGCTTCTTCTAGTTTTAGCAATCAAGGTCAGTCAGTCTATGTACGGGGATGGGCACAAACCTTTACATATATGTGAGGGTAACTGGAACATGCACTCTTTAAAGTCAGTAGATGAGAAGGAAACCCCCGTCCATATCAAATCAATTGGAGTCTGACAGTATCATTGAAAAATATGTTCGTTTCTGTGTTAATGTAGCTGATAGACGGGAAATTACTCTACCAGGCTGTACATTTAACCGTCATTTCTGCTTGCTTTCGGGTAACGACTAGGCTACCGGAACAGAAGCGGGCACCAAAGCAGGCCCAGTGTCCTGCACCTCTGGTGTGAACTGGGCTGCATTCACTGGTCTGACAGGTTAGGCTGCTGCTGTTATCCCCAGAGTATTTATCAAATGTTTTGCCAGGTATATCAAAGAAAATCAGAGAGCTATGGCCACTCCAATGGCAAGTGTCAATTGTTACGTAAGGACTTCTAATCCTAAAAGCATGTATAACTTAACAGGTGTGAGGACCTTCACTACAGCAAAGACTGACAAGCATTAAGAAACAGGCATAAATCATTTTATATAAAACAAGGCAAAGGGGTTATATACCTGAAAAAACTAAACTGTCAAATAATTTTGAATATCTTTAACAAAGTCAATCACGGATATAGACAGTCATAAGAACCAAAAGAAATTTATTTACAAAATTTCTTACGTAACTGGTGGAAAAAAAATAACAAGAAAAAATATAACAAGAAACAATCCACTATGACTCCACTAATAGCCTTTAAGCCAATTCCTACAAGAGAACAATCAGAACAGCTCCTGATTATTAGGCTAGAAAGATGGCCTTCGACTGCACAGGGCGTACCTTTAACCGTAGGGTTCTGTGCAAGTAACATCATGGTACTTGTAGACTCCGCCGAGTCACAGTTTCTAGAGTGCTGTCCCCTGTCTACCTTACATAGCTATTTCGTCGCTTTCATTGACTCCATTCTTGGCTTTTTTCTCTTTCTCTTCTCCTTTGTCGCTTTTCTCTTTTTCGCCATTGTTGGCCCCTTTGTCTTCTTTGTCCTGAACACTGTCGTAAACTGCTTTGTTATAGCCTTCCCTGTTCCGAGCAATTTCAATGGCAAAAAATTGTATCCTGGGGGCTGAAAGGTGAACAGAACTGATTACCGCCCTAGTCACAGTGACTTTTGTAAACCCAAAGGAAATCTACTGACAAAGCTGAGCTAACTTGCAAAGTACTCCAGCACAGTCATTAAGTTTCAGACATGTGAAATTCTAGTCCTATAATAAATGAGGCTGAAATACTTAACTATCTCACAGTTACTGAAGAAACAGTAACGTGATCTATCTATGTCACCGATGCATCACGAAAACCAGATTCCTCATTCATCTTACACAGAACCAATTCCAGAGGCAAGAAACTCACCAAAGATTGTGTTTTCCTCAGTGTAGCCCTGAGAACAATCCAGTCGCAGCAAAGTACCATAGTTGAAGTCTTCTATAACCCCATCAAACTGCAAACAGAATGGCCTCCACTTCTATAAAGGCAAAAAGAGAGACCTTAGCTGACTGATGACACAGATTGGTGAAATCAAACCAGCAGAGTGGCTTCTACTTCCCCAGTGAGGAAAAGGACCATAGTGAGAGAGACTAGCGCAGCGAGTTTCTGTGCTCTCTACTGTGGTTTTACAGACTAGTATTTCTCAGTACGGATAGTATTTTCACCTGAGGAGATACTTAAATCCTTGACTACAGAATTAAAAAGCCAAGGGCCTCCTCTTAGGGACATTTTTTCTCCAACTGAAAGAGTTTTATCACTCTGTAAAAGTACAAGACAGTCAAGTAAGCGATGCAAAACGCAAGTTTTTCACGTAGTTACGGCATGGCCTGTGATACTGTCAACTGAAATCCAGAGAATCCAAATACCTCCCTGGACCCTCTTTGCCAGTCTTCCCTCCAAACACTCTGGTTAAGCTACTCACGTAAGTCAATTTATTCCTCCTCCCTTGAAAGGGCTGGGTGTTCAAAGATGTAATGTCAAAGTCAAAAAGGAGGAAAAATAGATTCAATGAATATAAAAAACTCATGAACCAGAAACACATTCGTAACTTATTAGATAACTACATAAGAGCGGTGGTTCTTTACATATTTTCCTTGAACTCCCTTTCCGAATTTAAATGTATAAAAACGCGTTCACAATCAATAACTGTTGGTCAGATGCTAGACAATGTTTAAGAGAGGGATTTCTTACCTCTTTAGCTGATACCGATTTGAGCTCTTCTGGGTCCAATACATCTATCTTGAGATTCTCAAAATTTTTCCGAAATTCAGAATAGATTTGGTCATCCACTTTGGTAAGTTTCAGGAACTGTGGGTCAACTGATGAAATCAGCTGCAGACAATAAGACAACAGATAAATGCTAGTCTCCAATGTACTACACTTCTATTCTGCCACCCCCAGAAAATCCTTATGGGTCTCAGGGCAGAAGAGTTCATCAGAAGGTATGGACAGCCTAGGTTGTGGATGAATCGTGACATAGTTGTGAAGGGCCATAATATACTACATTCCCTTCCACCAATTCAAACACTTTCGGCCCTAGTCCTGCCTGGTTATTGCCCTCTGTGGACCGTTTATTCAGTTGAGGAACATTTATTAAATGCCAGGCAACCTTTTGTCAGTTAGCAACATAACTCTAGGCAAAGAGTCACAAGTCCTTATTGTCAAAACAGAATTTGTTTCTACAGTCCTGTCCTCTAAAGGTAAGATCTTACAGCAAGAAAAATTATCTCCAAAACACCACTGTTTAACGTGCTGAGAATAATGATTAGCAGAAAACCACACAGTACGAGTACATGTTTAATCCCGCTTAACAACGAAGACAGACGACTCACCTTGTAGTAGACTTCGGCGTGCTGCATTGCTCTCATGGCCCAAGCCATCTCGATATCAGGCTACGAAGGAGTAAAGAATGCCTGGTCAGCAATCTCCCAGCCTTGCTACCAGAGAACAAATTAGGGCAGTCTGCGGATGCTCAGGAGGGCTGCCAAACTTGGCATTATTGTCAAAGGATAAAAACTGGACTACTGGCTTTGGACACTAATTCTTCTGTTCTCATGACAAACAAAAGAAACTATCTTTGTAGTCTAAGAAACAGAATGAGCCACTGGCCATATTTTTCCGAAAGTTAGTGAAAATGTGAGGGACTAAATAAAACAGTAAATGGCCTTCTCAAGACTGGGTTCAATATTGTAAAAATGAAATAATAAACGCACACGACTGACTTGTTGAGAGAACGAAACGGAAGTGAAATTACTCTTCGCTTTGAAGAGCGTGACATGTTATAATCATCCGTGTTTATCTGACAGCAAATTCCCCATCCTATAACACTTAGAAGCTTCATATCATGAAGCACGGTAATTTATAAATAAGCGTTACCCACCATCTTAGTTATCAGTTGATGGTAAGGACATAAAAGCCCTGGTTATCTGTTGGGATCGCCCACTTCATATGGAGGGGTCTATGTCACTGACCCCAGAAGAAGCCATTTGCATTTTTACCTCCACGCCCTTTGCTTGCCTGCCAATTCGTGTACTTCGTCCACCTACAGTTTGAGGATACGGTCTGAGATCCACTAGGTCAGTGAAGTCTTCCTCTACTGTCTGGGTTCTCCGAGGTTTCTTTTTCAGCTAAACTGCTTTGTGTCTCATGCCCTGAGCCATTCATTCATCTAACACATCACAAGTTACTTGAGCGTTACCACTGTCCTCACGGCCCTGTATCTCGTACCTCAAAACATATCATGTGGTTTCTCCTGAAGAATGTAAAGCAGACACAGTGTAAGCCACTGCAACTTTACCGCAAGGTGGAATCACTCGGGGACTTTTAAAAACACGGATTCCTGAGTCTCACCTCCCAGATACTCTGATTTAATTGATATGGATTGCGCCCCGGGCAGAGATATTTAAACGCTTCACAGGGGGTTCCAGAGGGCAGCGATGTTAGTGAAGTAATTCTACGGACATTAGTCCTGCGTTTGTGGACCCAAGAGATGAGAATGGAAAGGCGTGGTTTCTGGAGGGCGTGCAGAGCGTCCACAGAAGATATCGGGGCAGGGTTACGACTCCGTGGCCGGCCCTGCAGAAATCGCGGGCTGGCGGGGTGAACGGGGGCTGCGGATGAGTCATACTCACATCGTTGCCATAAGACTCGGCGGGGAGAGAAAGAGCGTGAGCCACCGACACCAATTCCCCGGAAACCTGGGAAGGAAAAAAGTTTGGGGGAGAGTTCAAGGCCAGACCCGGCTCGATTTTCCCATTCACCCGACCACGGAACAGCGTCTCACCGCCTCATCGGCTCCGCCACTCGCCTCCATGTTGCAGCGAACAAAGCGCGACCCCGCTTCCCGGAAATGACTTTATGGAAGTTCCTTCCGTACTTGTTGGAAAGGGAGGACCTGGCAAGAGTGGCTCCCGGCGCCTGCGCCTGCGCACACGCTCCCTCGCCCGGAGGCGGAAGGCCCCGCCCCTCCCCACCCGCCCGGTGCGAACTTCAAGGTGTTGCGTTGCTACGTCGTCTGGGCTGCTCGAGGCCTCGGAGAGAAATGGATGCTCGGTAGTATGAGTGAGGATCATGTGAAAAACCGGAGTACAAATAATGCAGCGTTCTCATCCCCACTGCACTGAGTGCCAGGCAGAGAATTGAATTCACACCCTCCATTTGTGCAGGCGCCACACAGCTGTTGAAAGAATGTAGCAATCTATGTTTTGGGGAGATTGAAAGGGCTTCGTATGTTGAATATTCGGGAGTTAAGACTTTACCCTAAAAGCAGTGGGAAGCTACTGAAGGTCTTTGAATGGACGGCCTCACTATCACACTTAAATTTTAAGATCGCTGAAACACAAGTGTCGAAGACAAATTTGAGGAAGGCAAAATTGTAGGCAGAAAGACCAACTTCGAAGGCACTGGATAAGTTTGAGAATTAATAAGGTAAATAGAATCAATAGGACTTTTCGACCAATTGGATCTGTAGGATAATGAAGAATTAGGATTCCAGTAGGACTCCCACTATTCACAATAGGATTTGGGGATGAATTTCGTTGAGCTACAAAAAGGACCACGAGTTTAATTTGAGGAGTTGAATTTGAAGAGCTTAAGGGACATTCAGATAGCATTGACTAGTCAGAGGAGGACCTGATCAGAGATGTAAATATGACAGCTAATACTTTAGGTTTAATTGAGTTGTCCCAAGGAAACTATGAAGAACTCTAAAAACACAAAAAGCAGTAGGCCAAGGACAGAACTATTTATGAAGAAGAAACGGCAAAAAAAAAAAAAAGCAAAAAAAAAAAATTTGTCAGTGGGACATCAGCAAAGAACCAAGGGAGACTGAGTCTCACAGAAGCCAAAGGATAAGAGAACTTCCAGTAGGAAGTGACGAACAGTGTCTAACACCTGCACTGAGTGCGCTAAGCCCAGAAATATTGAAAGGTCATCAACAACCTTAACAAGAGCAGTTTTGAAAGAACGTTAAGTGTAGATTTTGGATGGCAGTGGGTTGAGAAGCAAGTGGGAGTTAAAGGAGAGATGACAATTACCACTGAAAATTGCCAAAGAGTTGAAGCTAAAAAGACACATAAGGTCCAAGGACTTTTTAAAATTCTGGTAAAATACACATAACCTAAAAAACGTACTATCTTAACCATTTAAAGTATACAGTTCAATAGTGTTAAATGTATCCACATTGCTATGCAACACACCTCCATGACTTTTTTATCTTGCAAAACTGAAACTCTGCACCAGTTAAGCGACAATGCCCCATTTCCCCTCCCCCTAGCCCCTGGCAACCACCATACTACTTTCTAGTTCCATGAATTTGACTACTTTAGATACCTTAAGTAAGTAGAATCATGTAGTATTTGGCCTTCTGTGACTGGCTCATTTCACTTAGTATAATGTGCTCGAGGTTCATCCATGTTGTTGCCATTTGACAGTATTTCCCTTTTTTAAGTAAATATAGATATATTACATTTTGCTCATCCATTCATTTTTTCATGAACATTTAGGCTGCTTCCACCTTTTGGCAATTGTAAATAATATGGCTATGAACTTGGGTGTGCAGATATCACTTCAAGATCCTGCTTTCAATTCTTTTGGACTTATACGCAGAAGTGGGGGTGCTGGTTCATGTGGTGATTAACTTTTAATTTTTTGAAGAACCTCACGGACTTTTAAAATTATTATTTTAGATTTACAGAGAGTTAAATGTTCTGAGGAATTGGCCTTATGTAAAATATTGTCCTGGAGGGTGAGCTAGGTGAATCTCCAGAAAAACTGAATGAAGACAGGCAGCCAAAACAGGAAATTGAGATGCTCCCTCCAGATGCTTTACGTTTTCTCTGTGGAGCACAAGAGGGCAGCTAAGAGCAAAAGGAAATGTGTGAAAGTCTGGTCTTGAGAAGAATGTCTTGAGAAGTCCAGCATAGTAGCTCAGATGAGAGGGAAAAGCAACCTAACAAGGAGATAGAGGGACATTTTCAGGGAATCGCTAACACCAGAGGACATGATTTTGCAATGGTAGTAGTCCGTATGTAATCCAGAGGTCTGAATTTAAGATGGATAATCCTGCTGCAGAAATGTGAAACAAGACCGGCGAGAAACCAAGCAGCACTCGGAGAGCTGGAGAACTCAGGATTATTACACCGGCGGTCCCAGAAGAGCTAGCGCTCTGAAGATCTGGGCCCCGAGCTCAGGGGCCACTTTGCTTTTATATTCGTGCTGTTACAGTTGACATGGGCTGCTTGGTTGATTTGTCCTCGGATGGTTCCAGACCGCAGGAGTGGCTATGGGCTACGGGCAGTTACACGACATGAGATTTTCGAACGGGAATTTGGGAAACATGTCTGTTATTGAGACAGAACAATCATAGGGGAGGGGGAGTCTTCCGTTGATCTTGAGATCACTCTGCCCTTCGGCCTATGCAGCAAGCACGTCCACAGAAGCAGGGCATAGAGCTGATTACAAGGTTAGCCATTTGAGTGGAAAATTCCTCTTCAATCCGACCTAGATGCTGAATGTTACTGAATGTGGAGGCCTGACCAGGAGCTCATTAGACAACAGTAAAATGGAAGAGTAGTCTCAAGATGATGGCCAAATCAATGCATAACACGTGAATATGAAGAGAATTCCAAGAAACCCTATTGGTCTTTTACCTGCAACCATAACAGGAAATTGAGAGAAAGATCACTTGGGTGGGGGGCGGCCTTAACATCTCTCTCTCATTCTTCTCTGGATTAAAAACAACTGAGTAACGATGGAGGATGTCGGTAATATATATTCATTCAACAAGCATTTATTGAGCACCTACTACATGCCAGGCACTATTGGGGTAAGTTAGTGAACAATCAGACACACAAACTAAACAACAGCAGCAAAATTTATAGATAATCCTAAATTTCAGTATTCAGAACATAGAGGATGAACCTTGTCTTCGCTTGTTGTGTTGGATGGTGGCACATCTGTGACATACTCCTCCATTAAAACAAAGCAAAGCCTCACAGTGACCTAATCTGAAAGGATAAGATCCTTGGACCCATAGATAAAGGACACCACAAGGGACAGCAGGCCACAAAGATGGACAGAACCAGGTTTCCCCACCTTTTGTGCTCTCTGGAGTTCAGTGGAAAGAGGACTTTAACCTAAGTACTCAAGGCCCTAACATAGCAGTTTTGGTTGTCCATGCTCTTCCTGGTCCTCATCCCCTGAGGCCGTCTATAAGAATTTTCTACCCTGATACTGGCTTAGGCAGTCCAGGAGCTACTGCAGGTAGCTCTGTATTTGGTGTTAATCTAATGTATTAATAAGGCATGAAACAGTGTAAAAACCAGGAAGAAGCTTTTATTCTTCTCAGTGTCATCATCAGCACCATACAGGACCACTCCTTAATATCCTCGACTGTCATTACCTTGAAGAAGCCAAATCTGACCACCCAGCAAAAAAAATCGCATTCGTTTCTGTCACATCACCCCATTTTATTTTCTAAGTGTCACTTACCGCTATCTGAAGTTAACACAGTAATTTATTTATTTTCTGTCTCCACCCATTAGAAGGAACGATCCCTGAGAACAGACCTCTTGTGTTCTTAAGTGGTTTGGGTCTTCAGGGTCTAAAACTGTGTCGGGTACATAATGGGTGCTCAATGAATATCTGTTTTATGAATGAACGGATGTGTGGATGGCTGGATGGGTGATACCCTTAAGAGGGGTTCCAGGGCTAGTTCCACTCAAGCACCCAGATCTGGACCCACAAACTAAAGGAGCAGTAGAAATCTCCCATCAAATAGCGTGAAGGCAGACATGACATAGCTGGCTTGGGAGCTCCGTACAGCAGTAATGTGCGTGTCCAGTCGGGAATGCGCATGTCGATCTTGGCATTTCTCCTCCAGACTGAGGACTTATAAGAACTTTACTATCATAACTGTGGCCGAACATTTGCATTTTTACAGTTTGGATCCCGAGGCTGCTTTACAGAGCGTGACTGTGATCCTTGGACTTGGAAACTGCCTGCAGAACGAACAGTTTCTCTGTGCCATTGGATTTCTGTTGATAAGTAACCCAAAAGCTTTTCGTTGTACAAACCTGAACCAGAACTAGGACGTTGACAAATGCCTAATCATGTTTCCCATTGTTTCATCGAACAACCCCACTTGCTGACCACTGAGTCAGCTGACCTTGAAAAATCCAGTTGACCTCACCCATCAGAAAACGAATAATGTAAGTTTATGAGCCCGTTTCCTCTAGCAAGTCATCTCTTTGATCATCGACTCCTGACAGATTTGCCTTTAAAAACCCTGCCTCATACCCTCCGTTTTCGAACATGTCTTTGGTTCTTACCCAGGGCTATGTCCTCGATTTGCAAATCATATTTGAATAAGACTGTCTTTTAATTTATTTTGGAATGTTTGTGGACAAGGTGACTCTTAGAATGGGTCTCAGGACTAGCGTCTTTCCCCCTCCTCGCTCTCACTCTTCCCAGTCATGTCTGCCACCACAGGGACGTAAGAAACTGTCCACAAAATAAAGTCTGGCCCTGGGTGCTAGAGAACGCGCCCGATGCCACACAACCTGAGACACACGGCCACACTTCCCATCAGCCAGCGCGCTCCCGCCCCGAGGGGCGTCGCTGGCACAGTGGACTTCCGGGTGCCGTTGCTATGGCTGTACGGGGCGGGGCTTCAGGAGGCCGCCCTACGGCCCCTACTGCACAGCGACTTCTTCGGTGCCCCCACTAGCTGCTTCCTGGGCTCCCTGCTCGAGCTGCTGTCGCTTTCCCTTTTCTACTGTCCTGGTTGGGTCCTTTTCTGGACTGCTCTGGGTCGCAAAGAAAATGTCCCCGCGGACCTGTTCGCTGGCTCAGTGAAACTGTGGCCGCTTGGTGGCAGCATCGCGCCACGGACGGTCGCAGCTCCGCGCCTCCCTCCCGCCCTTGTGTTTG